CACAGACATCATTCTGCACAGTGAGGCTCAAACATTCAGCTGTAGGTAAAAACATATTTTTGACTCTAGGGGGACTTAAAGCCAGGCAGTCAGACGGTGTCATTTTCAAATACCTGTCTTTTGTATTCCGAGACAGCGTCGTACACCTTCCACCCGTTCTCAGGAAACACTTGCCCGTATTCAAAGGCAAAGATTTGCTGTAGAGAGTGGGAAAGACATTCATCAGTCGGTGGTCAGTGCAGACCTTCAGTGTCCAAGACAGTGTTGCTGAGAATCACTCACCAGTCCGTTGGAAACAGGAAACGCAAATTTCACCAGCACTTCAAAAATGGACTTCCTGAGTGTGTCCTCCATTTGCTTGTGTGCAAATCGTAGATTACGCATATCCTGCACAGAGGCAGAGCCGCAGGTCATGGTCAAATTCAGGGGTCAACAGTGGTATGTAAATACAATTTCATAGCAGTAAAAACACTACATGCACTAACAGTATGCTGTTGTGGAGCTTGTTCATAGGCTGCCAAATAAAGTAAGTTATCGCAGACTATTTCCACATCTTACTCACTTTGCAAACCAGCCCATAGGACACGTCACCACGGGTTGATGCACTTCCAATCTTTTCCACACGACTCACCACCCCGAGGGGAAGGTCCAGCACAAATGCTGGCTCCTACAAACCAAACAACACATTAACCAAAACAGAATGATTCTTTAAATTTATTTACAGTACTTTACTAAGCTTACCCTGTCCATGCTTTTGAAGAAAAGCCTGTAGTTGGTTACGGTCACTGTTCCCCTCAGTGCTCCGATGAAAGGACAGAAGTAGGTGACATCTTGGGCTATAGATTAAAACAAGAAAAGATTTAGCCATGTGCGGTAAATGTATCACAAACAATATTGTTTTAATGTGGAAAATAAAGGCCACTCTTTCTGCATAGTAATGCAGGAAAGCTGTTATGATTAGATTTATGAGAGAGAACCTACCCATGTCTTGCACCGTTTCATTTGGAAGTAACTGTGGTTCCTCTTTGTCTGAATCTCTCAGCACCTGCTGGAAACAACAGATACAAATTATACTCGAATGTGGAGCAGCCTGAACCCATAAAACCTAAAAGGTAATCATAATAAAGCATTATTCCAAGACATGTGCTGGGTGAGTAGTATGTAATTCATAAGATGGCATACCTTGGTAAGAGTTTTGGGCTTAACCTGAAAGGGGGCAGAAAAGAGGAGGATCACGCTTGGGTCATTATCATTAGTACTTAATGAAGTTAACTGAGTGAACTAGGTGCAGGACACTGACCCTGAGCTCTGGGGAGAGCTCTGTAGAGGTGGACACAGAGTCGGAGGACATGGCAGAGGGCGGCTTGGCCTGGGCAGAGCGGTCAGAGCGAGAGGTGGAAGAACTGGTGAGAGATAAACCATGAGAGGAAATACTCTGAGGAGGGTGAAACAGCAGCCTTTTCTCGTCAGATTGTCTGACTTAGGAAGTATGCAGACTAGTGCTTTATTGATTATCTATTAGTCAACTGGAAATCAATTATCAGCAATTTTGATAATCAATTAAAAGTCATTCATAAAGCAACAAAGCCAAGTTTTATCTGGCTCCAGCTCCTCTTATATAAAGATCTGCAGCTTTCCTCTGTTTTATAACAGGAGTAAGGAGTAGTTCTTATAGTTCTCTGATGTTTTGTAGCCCAAACGATTGAATTGATGGATCAAAAACAACACCACAGTGGATAATGTAGCTATTGGTCAGGCTGAGTATGC